ACATAATCAACCGGGTAAGCTGTGGTACTTCACGAAGACATGATTTTAAAGACCATTTCGTTAACTAGTTGCGCGCATACGCGTGTACATATGTGCACTAACTATAACGTCTCATTACAAAATTGATTGTTGTGCGTTTGGTCCTCGACCATCGTGGGGAACCAGTAAGTTGTTCGGTAACGGTCATCCCCGTTTAGTATTTGTTAAGTGCGCTAACCGGGTTTACTTGGCTGTTCTTAGAAAATCTCACGATTGTCTGTAGTGTAATCAGAGCACACACATATACACACAGACACGTATATGGATAGGACGGAGATTCTGTGTGCGCCATTGTGCAACAGCTGGATTCAAGCAACTCAAGAATCTATATTGATCATCTGTAATTTGTGACTACTGATTGTATCGAGAGTAGTAACACTGAGATCTCGACTTCGTCCTTTTCAGACTAAGACTATTTAGGGGTCTTTGAGAGGCTAAGCAACACACGCGTGAATGCAATCATGCAACCCTTCCAGGCGGTGCGATGGAAAAGGTTTGCGGAAATCGCTTGTGCTCGTCGGCAAGCGGTGCAGGTCAACATTACATTGTTTCGTAGGTCGGTCGTGCGGTCGAGTTTCATCGTTACTCTTCAACTATCTCAATAATGTATGGTCCAAAGAAGCCGTTAAAATGGGCTGCAGTCCTCTTGATAAAAGTTGCTCGGTAAAGTGTGTTTCAATAAATTGCAGGAAAATAAACCGCCCAAGTGCCATGGGTTAATCAATATTTCTTGCACAACAAAAATGATCGAATTTTAACCATCTATAACAGTCGAATTTCACTGCACCATGACACGTCTCGGAAGTCCCATCAAGAAGTGATTACTCTGATTGCCCCGGTTAGCCCTTTTTGATGAGTAGCAACCAACGTAGAAGGAAAACCTACACAAATTGAAGTGAGTGCATTCGCGAACTCAGCTACTCATCCGTGGGTTAAAAGCGTGCCCAGCGAGAAAATAGACGACAAATAAATAAATATTGACTCAAGTTGTCCGTGTTTCACAATTATTGCCAAATTAACGGATGAATTCAAAAATAACTGTGAGAAAATGGTGTATATGCGTATTTGCATTCAAATCACTATTTCGATGTAAACGCATGAACCCCATCTATTGACATTCATCGGGATTCTGAGTGGCCACGATCTAGAAGTTCACAAAACTAAATTTTTGTACAGTTCACTGTATCAAACCCCAGAGTAGAAAGGCATTAGAAAAGGTTGCCATTTGGTCCAGACACCGGAAAGTGGATAGAAAACAATCGGTCAGGTTTCGGCTGCAGCACTTTTCATCTTCTCCGCGGCCACACGTTCTGCCCGGTCTAAGTACTCCTTCGATTTGACCGGATCCGCGGTGACTCCGTCGCCCAGAGAATACATTCGCGCCACATTTCGGCAGGATAATTCATGACCCAATTTGCATCCTTCTAACCAGGCTTCCAAAGCCTTAGCCCGAAGATCGGCAGCCGACTGAAGGATGGTTGACGAGGTGGTGTTTGCGTTCTCTTGTTCTTTCTTCATGGCCAAAGTAAGTGATGCACCGCCCAAATGNCCCAAATGAAAGCAGCTTTCCGGTAATCCCAGTTTACATCCACGCTCGAACAGGGGTGTGGCGGTGGTCAATGTTGGCGCGTGACTGGCAATCCCTTCCGCAACTAAACGACCAGCAGCCTGGAGGAAACAAGATGAAGCGCAAACTGGGGATGAAAAACACGGTTCATATTGATATAACCGAATACCAGTCAATTTTCATAGCTGTCCAGCAAATCCTCACGATTACCAGATGGCAGTGGCCAAGAATGAGAATCAGCATCATCCTCCGAAAGAATGAACTGTTATTTAGAAACACTTCTCACATTATCCTATTATCATCCTGTCTAACTTGACGCAATGCGTTCCAAAGATTTAATGGATCTGCGCGTACTAACGAGCTCCAATTTAGATTGGATTACTAACCAGAATGACTAAATATATTCAACACTCAAAACTTCCAAAACTATACCCGTTTATCAGCCTCTTCTACGAAACTGTATTGTTTTTTACTCAAATTTGGAAGCTCGCCATAGTTCTGTATTGCTTAGATGTCCGATTCTTTTGGATCTGAAATTTACCAAAAATTGTTTCTCCTACATTTATTTCTGTCATGCATACATTTGATTGCTACCTTCCAACTTCCGGATTCTTAGCACAAATTCCAACACAACTACTACGAAGCAATATTTGACTTAAGCCCTCATCTTCATTTTTCTTTTCTTTGTGATTTTGCTTAAAGCAGAACTGTTCATTTGATCAATAGTCTAGTGCGAATATTCTCCAAGGAGACACCATCCCTGAGGGGTCGCTGCTACTGATGATGGCGATGCATATATTCGTCACTAGTACCGTGACTCAATTTAACATATTACATGTCTTAATATGATGAAAAGGAGATGGATAGACACCTACTGTTCAGTGATAGAAACCGGTAACCAAGGCCGGGGACTTGCAGTGGTGAACCACATAAGGCCACGGTGGTTTAGGCGTGGTATTAAACTGGACGACAGCAAAGCTTCCCACCACCAAAGTTGAGTGGCGGTAGCGGGGCTCGAACCTCAGTGGTTTAGTCGCTGTCACCGGCGTGCTTTAGGCCCTATGGTCCGAGGTTTAAGCTCCGCCACTACCACCCAACTTTGGTGGTAGGTAGCTTTGCTGTGTCGTCCGGTCCAATACCACACCTCACCTAGCGCGGGTCTTATGTGGTTCGCCACTCCAAGTCACGGGGTTTATGTTGCCGGTTTCCATCACCGAACAGCAGGTCCTCGTGACTATGGGGTTTACCCCATCTGTCGTTCAACACTTTAAGGTGTGTCATAAAAATAGGCCCCTCTTCAGATTACGGAATTTCTACCGTAGTCAGTGTTTCTCCGATTGTAAATGTCAGTTGTTCGTTAAGCCACAGTTCCCATGACAAAATCTGCCTTCAAGTATTGTGAGAGGATACTTACTGACCCAGGTGAATGATCGGTTTTGACCAACAAACCCCAACATGCATAGCATGTCACAGGATACATAGTTAACACTCAGTAGTCGGTATGGTCTCGTAGCTCAGCTGGTACAGCGTGCGCTGTACAAAAGCGTAGGCGGCGTACGTGCGTGGGTTCGAATCCCACCGAAACTAATGGACTTTTCGCAATCTCGAAATAAAAACCTCAACAACAATTTGATACCTTATGATTCAGAAAGAGAAACCAATCTGTTGCCAACCGGGGAGGTTCTTGCGGTACATCACAACCTTGAACTTTTAGCGTAAACAAGATTCTTCACAATGAATGATTCATTTAGTGGCTAGTGGCTATGGGATTTTTATCAAATCTTGCTTTCTATCTTATCTCAAAATTATTTTCATTTTGCCCTCACAGGCGGGCTCTCAGAAAGGCAAGAAACCGCGCTATGTCTGTGCGAGTCGGGCAACTCTGTAGCGCTAGTGTACGACGTATAGTACTGTCTGAATGCCATAGAGTTATTATATGCCGAAAGAAAAATGGTGGAAAAGCGCTCAGAAGTAGAAAGAGAGAGACCCACAGAACTAATTGTATGTCTGAGAAGCATTTCCACACGCTTGTTTTACCAACTCGATAATCCGATGATTCTTGTTACACCTGGTTTCGGTGCGGTCGGTTCTCCGCAAACCGAACGTTATCTGAGAGCTTTTGTTTGGAGCAATTCAAATATTATCTACTGTGTTCGAATACAACCAGCACCACCTAGTTTTCTCAATTTCGTACTCCTAAAAGCAGTATGCTCTGCTTAACTGAAATTATTTTTCATGAAAATTCTCTGGTATATACCTTAAATAAGGAATTTAAAGTATTATTCAGATGATGATATTTTGACACAGCCACTTGGATGATGGGCGGTTTGTGAATGCGACTGAGGCGGAAGAACCAGTTTCAGTTTTCAGTTTTTACAACCACTAACCATGCACTTTCATGCGCCGGTTTTAGTTGCTGTCTTTTGGTTGCCAATTTGGATAAAAGAGCGAAATGAAAAGTGGAATGTCGAAGCAAATTCGAACGGAAGATGGGGAATACATATAGTGGTGCTAGGAAAATAACGAGTGGATGCACGAGCGCCACTGTTTGCGACACCCAGCCATATCACTCAGTGTAGCTAACCATCGGAGACCATCATCCCGAGGTCCCCAGCCCGGAAGCCTAACAGGGCCTATGTGACCTAGTTTCCTGGTTAGGATTTTCATACCCTCGTGCCAGGTCTTAGCTTGACCGCCCTTCGTTGTTTTTCCCAATCGCTACCAGCCTCGGCAAACATCGTTCGCCTTGGCAACCTATCTGGTGACATGCGTAGCACATGTCCCAACCAGCGTAATCTATGGAGGTCGATCACTTGCTCTAGTGGACGACCGCGACTGCCTAAAACTCTACGCCTAACCTCAGCATTGCTAGTCCGGTTACCCCACCCGACTCGTGCAATGCTACGTAGACAGCGGTGTTCGAACACCGACAATCTATTTTTATCCTGTTCCCGTAATGGCCAAGGCTCTGCACCGTAGAGCAGGACTGGCCGAACTGCTGCAGCATACACTCGACCCTTCACAGACAGCCGGATGTCGCGACGGCGCCAAAAATGTCTCAAGTTGGCGAATGCCAACCGAGCCTTTTGTATGCGCGCCGAC